ATAGTTTTCCTCTTGTGACACAAGCACTTTTATTAATACTTTAATTCTTTAATTTTGATTTCAGGTTAACCCAAACATAAAATTTGAAGTATTTATTCACAAAGTAGATGGCTTGTCAGACGATCATAAAATTGGTAAGTACAATTACAGCAACAACCAACAACCAATCAGAGAACACTACACATGCATATTTGTACAATACACATGGAGCTACACGCATGTCATCAATATGGAATGTTTCAGGTTGAATCGAAGACCTCTCACAGAATAGAGAACACAACAAGTGACATCTGTTTACCCGCTACACACCGCAGGCTTATCTACATTATAATATTTTTTGACCAAACAAATGATACAATTCAATGCCAAGTCACAATAGCTCTACTTTGCTCTCAAACTTACACATACATGTATGTACAGGGAAGGGAAGGACAATGTACCATAATTTTAAATTGGGGGAGGAGACTGAGAAGCTCTACATCTAGTGGGGTGGGGTGGTGATATGGAATACTGTGGTCAAATTACTATAATTTGTCATTCACTAAATAATAGTAATGTTATGGTGGCTCTTGCTTATCTTTGTAAAAATGCAGAAACACAGCGAGATATTCACCAAAGAGCAACAGATGAGTTAGCTGATGCAGGACTTGAAGGCTTACACCTCAGGTGACTTACTAATCAACGTGTTTGAAAATAAACTTTCCAATTCCCCCTATTGATTGCCATACATTGCCTAGAGTTTCTTCATGTATGTAAATGTACGTACATGAATCACTTAAGACAGCTGCAAATAACAGATAGTCATCTCGGACAATGGCCAACCAAAATGTGTGGTTCCAAAATATCCATACCCCCCTCCACGGAAGGTTTTTGGTTTGGACCCCCACGGACCCTTCAATTTCCAGTTTAGCTTCATACTTTCCTTTAAAATACCTCTTTTTTCTATTTCAGTTTCTACTTGACAAGTATATATGATCACTCAATATTTGAGGTATACAGTGTAGAAACATTAAGCATTAATATTGTACAGTGTACATACATTTGTAACATATATACATACATGTTGTAAGTACTTTATGAGGCATCATTTTTGCTATCTTAGTATAAATAATTTATTACATGTATGAGAATAAAATAATAATATTATTCAGATGGGTTTATACAGGGCTTCTGACAGGGTGTGGGAAAAAATAAAAATTGTGCGGGATTTTGGGGGAAAATTGTGCGGGAATAAACATCAATTGTGCGGGGAATTGTGCGGGATTGACCAAATAGGAGTGTTCACTGTTTATCAACATTACGTCACATTTGTTTTGTTATTCAAATTTGCCAACCATTAAACAAAAGAACTCTTTGTTTCAACAGCCAATAGTTCTCTGGTTGGCACATTAATAACAATAGGTGACGTAACGAGAAAATATCGCTATATTTGGTAATTGTGAACAAGAGCTCCCTGAGCAAATTATACATTACTATATGCTTCAAACCTTTTGTTCGATCGTATCACCAAATCTGTAATGTTTACGAACGCAAATGAGCAAAATGAAAAACACTCGTAAGTCGATCGCCCTATAATGCATTGCAAACCCCATGTCGCACTATTTAACAACAACTCTGATTCGTTATTTGCAAAACAATATATTTTATTGTCGCAATCCGCCAATGAAAAAATAGGATTAGAAGCCGAACTAAGACTAGTGCCCAGGACGGCGCAGAACGCCTGGTTGTTTTTATATCCGCTCGAGCTGTTTTCGATGAAAGCGAGGGATTTCTCGATTGTTTTGGAAGGTAAATAGCCTGAAAATAGCCTACGAAGTTTCTCGAAAATAATCTTGGAAAACAATAGGAATACCTGCATGTATTAATTAAAATGTTAAGCAAATCTTTCAGTATTGTGCGGGATTTTGCGGATTTTTAGGAATTGTGCGGGTTTGACTGAATTGTGCGGTCCTGCACCCGCGCACTCTGTCAGAAGCCCTGACAGTGTTTATATCTCCAATACTATAAAATTTAATTTGAAGGTGATGGTTGTTGTTACTGTATGCACATTATAATCTTTTTTTTTTTCTCAGGCCTTCAGTAAAGTAGTACAAAAGCTAGTCCCTCAACTTCCAACACTGGAGAACTTATTAAATATCCTAATAACTGTAAGTATTGGACGGCACTGCATTTATTATTCCTTTCTATGCTTTGTGTTATGCACCAACTTATTTCTACCTCCTGAGTCTTGACACCAGGCAACTTTGACTGGAAATTTACAGTGCATGTGAGCACATGTTGATGTGATTCTTGTGCTGTTTTATATCCACTTCAGAATTCAGGTATTGAGAAAGCCTTTCTATTTGATGTGGTCAGCAAAATCTACGTGGCTACAGACAGGTAAATGCAAGATGTTATTTTTTTTTTCCATTTAGAGTACAGTATACTTGTTATTATATAAGCTTGCACAAGAAACAGTTCGTCGCTCTTGGGAACTACAGCAGTTCAACTGTAAAGAATGAAAGTTAACATGTCAGCCATCATATACACGCGTATGGCAGTCGAATCCCGATTTCTCGAACCCACCGCACGATTTAAAAACCCTGATAACTCATTTGAACCAAAAGTTGTTTCCCTTGGATTTATTTCACTATACTTTTACCCCCAATTGTTCGAACTCCCTATTTCTCGAACCAATTTTAATTTCCCTTGGATGCTCGAGAAATCAGGATTCCGCTGTATATTTATTGTTACTCTGATTAATTTTTATGTAATTTGTACATGTTTGTATTGCAGCTCTCCAGTAGACATGCAGTCCTATGAGCTGTGCTGTGACATGATCGATGTAGTTATTGATATCTCCTGTATTTATGGGTGAGTAGAGAAAGTGATGGAGCTGTAATTTATTGTTTATTGCACAAGGTCACTGGTTCTAACTTTTAAGTGTGTGACCATTCAAATGAAAGCTATTGAGCAGTACTTTCATGTGGTACTGGTACAAGGTGGTTCTAACTTTTAAGTCTGTGGATGAAACCCTAGTGTGTGACCATTCAAATGAAAGCTATTGAGCAGTACTTTCATGTGGTACTGTTTATTATGCTGTACAAGGTGGTTATCGAGAACGTTTAAGTCTGTGGATAAAACCCTTATCATGTGGTACTAAATTCCCCCAACTAAGATAAAGATAAGGGAGTAAGGTGAGTAAAGAGAATCTTTGGTTTGATCATCTACAGATTAAGAGAAGAAGGAGACAGCAGTGCATATGACATGGAGTCTTCATCGATCATCAAGCTTAACAACTCAACTATTTTGTATCTTCGCGAAGTCAACAAGTAAGTGAATGTTGCTATGCAAACAAGCAAGACAGACGCCTTCTACAGACGCTCTGTGGGTTCATCACACAATCTGTCATACTGGGGGGATGTTGTTACAGCACGCCTGGGGACTATGGTGTTCATTTGACGACTATTTATTGTAATAATTGTATTATTTACTGTGTCATATTGTTATGTCTAGAGACCTTTACCATGCGGTTTCCTGTTTGCACCTGTAGCCCTACCCCACCCCCCCCCCCCCCCCCCCCCCCACTCAAAAAACGAAAATAAGCCCATTAAAAAGGGTTAATTTATTATCAGAATTCTATGGTATGGGGGGGAGCATTTGAATAAGGTTAATTGACTATCACCTTTTATCTGCAGGTTTCTTGCCCTTGTTTGTATTCTAAGAGAAGATAACTTTGAGAAGAAAGGTAATAATATTATAATATAATATTATTTAAATGCTTAATAAGGTAAAGCTCAGGCCAAACTGGCTCACACTGCCGGAGCTTATCAGGATAGGAGTATTGCTACTTTTCTGGCACACAGTTGTAGCAGGTTTTACAGTTTACACGTTTGTATATTATTTGTTACTAATTTTGCCTGTGTTTTTGTAGGTTTGATAGACTACAACTTCTACTGCTTTCGTCAGGCCATCAGCGAGGTGTGTGAAACTGTTGTAATTTCGATTTAGGTTACTTTTTTTCTGCATACTGACATTTTCAATTAAAGAAACATGAAAGAGCTGCCCAAGGGCGGGACTGGTGTAATTGTGAAGAATAGCTCCCCTTCAACGACTCTCAGTCAACTGTCGGCTGACAGTTGGCCGACAGATGATCGGCAGTTGGCCGATGGAAGGCCGACTGTTGACCGTCGCTGGAGGAGAGCTGTTCTTCGCAATTACCCCAGCGGTGCCTGGGCGAAGTACAACATTGGTCAAAGGACAGGCAACATGGGGCAGTGAAATTATTCAATATACGAGTTAGCATCAACTGGCATCATCGTTTACCTCCTTTGCGCCTATGGGGTTAAGGAGAATTGACATCGTGTTGTAGAGTGTTTGGGTTGTGTAATCACTGATTGATCGTTTATTTCTCCCCAGGTGTTCGAAGTGAAACGCCAGATGAGATCAGTATCAGATGTTGGATCCCAGGCCACTTCTGCCGCATACTCGAACGGCAGCGCAGTCCCGGCACTGGACCGAGAGAGAAATGACAACGCTGTAGTTGTGTAGCGCAGGCTCAATTGTTGCTGTTCTGCAAGCAATGGGAATAATTTAAACTTCGCTACGCTTCCAAATTTTACAGTGCAACCCTTACGAAATGAACACACACTTTCGAGGTCGCGTTTTTTTTTTTGTCACTGACAAACTGACGCTTTTTTTTTCTCTTTCTTTGTTATGTTTATTCATGCCATTTCTAGTTCACTAATCGTGATGCTCGGCTAGAATGGGATCGTTACCAACCGATAAGCGAGAAACGTGTTTGTGTTATACGTGATACAGTCGTAAATACATGTACATCGCGATACGTTGTTTGACTGGTTTATTTTGTCAGGGTTGCAGTGTGTTGCAAATGTTCAAATTATAGTTTTGTATTAAAAATTGAAAAAGGCAATTTGAAAACAAAACAGAAGAGAAACATAAAACAGCGAGAATCCACGAAATTAGGTGGTCTATTAACAAGTACGCTTCCAAGTTGCGAAAGCTTTGTGGCCTAATGGTTAGCGTGTTGGACTCCGGATCGAGCGGTCCGGGTTCGAGTGCTGGTGCCCGGCCGGGTCACTGTATTGTGTCCTTGGGCAAGACACTTTACTCAGACACTGCTTCTCTCCGCCCGGGAGTATAAATGGGCACCAGCGACAAAATGCTGGGGGTAACGTGATGGACTAGCATCCCATCCAGGGGGAGTAGCGATACTCCTAGTCAGCTTCGTGCTACAAAACCTGGGATAACTGAAGCTCCGGCAGTGTGGGCCAGTTTGGCCTGAATGCGACCTTACTTATCTACTAAAGAAGAAGTCGGTTTGGAGTTGAGTATTTACATTGGTTAAATAACAGTATTTTACATGCATTATATCAGCTAAATGGCTCATGAGAAAGTCGTGGTTGATAGTTACTAAATAATTGTAAATAAGTAACAAGCGATTGGTATAGGCACTAAAAACCAACATGTATTGATAAAGGAGTACTGCCAACGATATTTGATCCCAATAAAGGAAATTTACAAACATGATGAAGTTTTTTATTATTATTTCCACTTGAAAGGAATTGGGAGAAAACGAATACTCGACCCCAGAGCTCTTCTCTTTTGCGCATGACGTCATGTGCAGATTTCTTGGTGCTGGCAAAAGGATCGCGTACTCTGGGGACGAAAATGTATTATATTAAGAACGACTGGTCCCCTGCGACAGACTAAATCCCAGACGTACCTTTTACAGGTGGGGGGATGGAAGAGGGCGCTGTACATACAAAGGAAGGGTTACGGTTTATTTACAACCTTTAGCTTTAACAAGGACCGTTAATTCTGAAACTTTTTTGGTGTTTGTCCCTGCGCACTGTTTTTCAGTCATTTTACTGCATCTAAACTCTATAAGCCGAACACCTCTCCAAGACGGACAGTTGGTGCCGGTCCCGATGGTGTCCGTTTTAGAGAGAGTTCACTGTATGCCTTTTCAGTTTTCAAGTTAATCAGTGTTTAATAAAAAAATCCACTGGGGTTTAAAAAAGGGTTTAAAAAAAAAAAAAACTCAAAAGCACGTTTCATGACTTTTGCATTGTAGTGATTTTTATTTGAACTGATAAATTACCAATAGAAGTTACAGACGTAGTGAGTGTGGCAATATTTAAAACCATTTAATAGCAAAGAACTGACGTTAGCTTGTCAGCTAATATTCTAAAATAATGCAACTTATGAAACTAAAAGTCATTTTCGAAGACGCCGCTTACCAAAAATTGCACCACTGATTCATTAAATTAAAAGTTCGGGGGCCTATTTTTCCTTAGCCTATACAAGAGAGCTCCATCCAGCTCGCAGGCTATAGTTATTTTATATTTCCATTCATCGTGTACTTAGTCTCAACCCAAGCCAAGTATTCTGAGAAGGAAACCGTTCCACTACCATCTTTATCCACGGTCTTGAGCGCTTTAGCGATCTGTTTATCGCTGCACCTGCTCCAAGCATCGCTACCAGAAGCCAACAAAGCTCTAAACTCGGCCTTGTCAATCACTCCACTCGCGTCTTTGTCGTACTTTTTGAACTCGTCGACAAGTCTTCGGACAAAAGCGTACCGAGTCGGATCGTCAACCATCTTGTAACCTTCGCCTGTGCGATGCCATTCTAGTAGCTCCTTTTCCGAGACGCTTTGACTCCCATCCTTGTCGACCAGCATGAAGCAAACTTCTGCTTGTCTCTCGTCCATCCCCATTTGTCGTAGCATCGCTAAAACCTCGCTTTTTTCGAGGCTTCCGCTGTCATCTTTATCGGCGTCTTTAAAATAACTTCTGATCACGCACGCAGGAACATCTTTTCCAAAGGGACTTTTTGCCATGTTTCAGTCAGAACTTGACTTCACGTTCGGCGAACAAAGCTTTGAGATTGTCAACATGCGCTCTGACAAATGCCAAAATCTTCTATAAGCAATTCATTTCCCAACCAGTGGTACAGCGTTTATTCGGCGTGCTGTTGTTTGCCATTGCGGGGTTGGTTTGCATACAAGTGACTGTTAATTCAGTTTAATTGACTCTCTAGGGAGTCTATTCAGAGAAATCGAACAAACCAGATGCCTTATACAATGCGTTCGCGCGCTAGCTGTTGTCAAACAAGGAACAACACGTACAATAGATTCAGATGATAGAGTACTTAGCAAAACCGGTTGTATTAAAATCTTAGATATATTGTTTGTAACTTCAGCGTCTTACAAACTTCTTTTCACTTGTTTCATATCGATTACAGATCGTTTCTTCTTATTTTTTTCAGTTACCAGCGACTTATAATACAATAGGCTGAGAACCAGCTGCTAATTACTGCATCTTTGTCGAACCAGATTCAGATTTTTATGGAAATGTAAATTTAAGTCGGACGGTAACCATAAATAATGAAATAAACAATTATCTAGCGTTGTTCGTTTCTCGATGTCTGAATTCAGTTTTCAACCGTTCTTTTACGGTCCACTTAATCCATTCATTGTTTAAAGTTTGCATTGATCGGGTCTAACAATATTAACCCTTTTACTCCCAGAGTCAAACCTTGAGTCAATAAATGTGGTTCCAACTTTCAAGTCTGTGGATGAAACCCTAGTGTGTGACCATTCAAATGAAAGCTATTGAGCAGTACCTTCATGTGGTGCTGTTTGTTTTTGACAATTTTTCAAAATGAAATTCAATATTTTTTCCTCAGTTTTGAACTTAGCATCTTAGGAATGAAAAGGTTAATCTACCTATATGTGACGGTGTTCATGCCCCGGATATATATAAAATAATTTAATAACTATCAATGTTCAAGGCGTTATCTGTGTCAAAAGTACCTTTTTGCATTATGAAAATCTGATTATTTTAACTCCTGGATCCGGTTGTTCAAAACATGGTTACGAAGTGTTTTGGTCTCTGCCATTTTTCTCTCGAAATCAATCAGTCTGATCTAGGGGGACGTGGGCTCTGGTGATATGGTCAGCAGAGAATCGCGGGCTCTGGGGACGAGCAGTCACTCTCGCACCCAGTGTCTTCGTTCCCCTTGACCAGCGGTCGGGAAACAAGTGCAGTAAGGAGCGAAGACTCGAGATTAGATATGCGATATGCTGAACATGCGCAGTTGTGTAGTGTGTCACATTCCTGACACATGATCACGTGATGTCAAGAAACGGATTTGACGAGATGTTCTCTCTCCCGAAGAGTGAGAAGATCTGGGTACGAGATAACTCTCGGAACAATGCGAGAACCGAAAAGGCCATTTCCAAGTTTCCTTTTGCCTCGGTTTCAAAACGAGTCCAGGTGCGAAACCATTCAAATAAAAATGAGTTTGATTTGCATGAAAATGAATTTGTCAGTAAAACTCATTTTCATATGAAAGGTTTTGCACCAAGAATTGTTTTGAAACAGACTAAAAAGGAACTCGGAAATGGCAACTGACTTACTTGTGTGGATATTCCAAACGGAGATCAACATACGTCATTCTCGACCCCAGGGCTCTTCTCTTTTGCGAAACCAAAGGCTCTGGGTCGAGAATGTGTACATTGACTTCGCAGAGCTTATTGATTGGTTTACAAAAATATCTCACAGCATGCTTTAACCAATCAGAGCGAATATTATTCCGATTCCTTTCAGTCAATCACTCCGAGTCTGCTGCACCAGATACCGGTTATATACTGGGTTTTGTTAGTTTACTAGATTTTTGCCTCATTGATTACAACTTAGTGCATGGAAGCTTATTATCGAGGCATTTTTTTCTTTCTCTTTTATCTTTCTTAAGGCAGACCAAGAGGTGTGTATAACATCTGCAGTCCTTTCTGTAGACCTTTAACATGTCAATTGGTGAACAATTTTGCGCGAATAAGACACTACTCTAGTACATTGTAGTTAGAACACTTTTCTAATGACTCTCGAAAAAACTCACAGTCACCGTGTGATCACGAGACATGTACAAGCGCGGGAAGATTTGTAACCAGTGAAAAGCGCGGGAAATTTTGTAACAAGGGGCAAGGGTGGGACTCAACAAACGCGTGAACGGGTGAAAAGTGCGGGAAAACATGTAGCCAGTAGCAGACTTGGCAAAACGTCTGTATAATTGTCGCCTGTCGGATTGGTTGGAGAGGATATCTTTGTCACGGGAAAGCATGCAGTTCTCGCGACTGTCGTGTAACACTGACCATGTTAAACAACTTGCACTGCTTTTGTAGGCTGTTACCAAGTTTCTTTCCATATATTTATTACCAGTCACTTTCAAGTACAACAAATAATGTAGTAAATCATCTAATTACCAAGTTACTTTGATATAAAATTGCATGCTAAAAGAGCAAGAACTTTTCTCGTCACACTTCGTAACATTACATTATAGATAACATCTTTGTCGTCAGATGGGTCTACAAAATCAGTCTAAAATCAATAGGCTCTATTTGTTAGGGCGTTTAGATTAGATTTTCGGACGGTCACTGAGTTTGTCCGAAATTTGAACGTCCAATAAACCTTATTCCAAAATGGCTGCCAATTTAAAATTATTTTGTATGCATTTAAATTCGCCTCACTAACCTCGTTCTATAGTAGTAAAATTTATTTTGAATTATCAGCTCAAAAACGAGGCTAGTGAGGAAAATTTAAATACATACAAAATAATTTTAAATTGACAACCATTTTGGAATAGGGTGTATAATGAACAAGGTTCAAATGTAGGTTACTAAGGCAGAATAAAGGAACAAGGATGGTTTAAAGGATGGAATAAAGGAACAAGGATGGTTTTCGTTTAAAAACGCATACCTTTCGATGCGTTTTTCGCCTATCGTCCACAATACAACGCTGAGCGTTTTCATCGAAAACGCATACATTTGAAAACGCTGTCCAGAGTGGATACATTTGAAAACGGAGCGTTTTGAGAACGGAGCCAAACGAAACCGCGTCAGTATGGACGGAGAAAACGGAGGCTTTCGAAAACGCTGACGTCATTCGTCTATTTGTCGCATGCGCAGAAACTATTGTAGCGTTTTCGAGCGATGCGTTTTCAAACGAAAACACGTTAGCATGGACGGAGAAAACGCTGCGAAAACGATAGTGTGGACGGATGCGTTTTTCGTAAAA